GGAGCCCCGCATCGGACTCTGCACTCAGTGTGGAGTCTGCTTGAGAGTCTCTCTCCCTCTCCCTCCACTCCTCCCCTCCACCCCCTCCCACCTCTGCTCTCCCTATCTCTGAAATAAATAAATAAAATCTTTAAAATCTGCCCATTTCCCCACTGTGTAAACTCTGGGGAGGGAATGTGCCCTGCATTTTTCATTTAAACAATTTGGCAGTTTTAAGTTCTCACTTTTCCTTTGCCATGTAATAGCCTTGGTCAAGAGAGCTAACCACTCTTACCCTATGACTGTGGTTCTGTAGGACAGAGACGAGACCCACTGCCACACTAGATTGGGTCTGTGAACAGTTAAGGAATATCACTGTACACTTGCCTAGCACCTTGAGTGAGGCAAGCACATCCCTTAGCTCCTTTTGATATTCACAAGGAGGGTGACCAAACGAAGAGGACCCTGAGACAAAGAGGTGAGCCCGCTAAGAGAAGGGTCCACGGGCAGAGTCAATGAATAGTACAACTTGGGGCTCAAATTCAGATCTTCCGATTCTAAGTCCAGTGACCCTTCTGTCAGAACATGTTTTGTGTACTCTTACAATCCATGGCTTGTGTCTCTTCATTTGACTTGTGATTTGGAACATTTACCCTGGCGATTCCAGAACGTTGGGGAATTTCTCTACATGTTTGGAAATGTGGGTTGTCAGAAGGTACTTGTCAGTTACTTATGTCACCAGCTTTCCATTAAACTAGGATTTTCTAGACAGGAAAGCACTACATAAATCCCAGGCAGCACTCAGCTTGAGGAACGAGAAATGAATGAATGGACACACGCTATTGTCCACCATCTGTCTCATCACGCCTGCGGGGCAGGTTTCCTGACCCATTCGTACAGGTCCACAAAGGAATGACTGGCCATCTTCCCACTGCCCAGGCTTAGAGACAGCACAAGGGGTCAGGAGCTTCTGTCTCTCCCTCAGTTCCCCCACTGTGTTCCTGGAATCTCAAGACGGGGGCCAGGAGAGAAGCAAGTACCTATCATCATAGGAGGAGATCCTCTTGCCATCCATGACTCGGGAGGGAGTGAGGGAGAGCAGGCTGAGGGAGTACAGCTTTTGCAGGAAGTGGCCCTCTAGAGAAACACAGGCGCACAACGGGGTTATCCTCAGGCTGAAGCGGGGCCCATCCCAGGTTCCAAAAGACCAGGCCCAACTCACCTCTGACCTTGGCGTCCTTACTGAAGCGCCACTGAGGCACAAAGACGGTTATGTCCCGGTGGCCTCGGTCCCAGAAGTACTGCACAGCAATGGCGATGCCCCGGCTGGAGAAGTAGTGCTGGAGGCCGTGCCTGCAGTGGGCAGCGGTCAGTGCTCCGGGGCCCCAGAGGAGGGGCCGCTCAGGGTCAGGAACTCTGCTCGGATCATCCCTCCCACGCCCACCCCGGATCCGCGGGCCCACCGGGTACTCACACCATGGCCACATTGCTGCCGTCGATGACAATGTGACGGAGGTCTGGCTGGCCGGGGACATTGGCAAGGCACAGGGTAAAAGGGTCCTGCAGGGCCTCCTGGAAACGCTGCGTGCCGGTCACCAAGTTGCCCCCGCGCGAGCCTCGTTTCCACGGAGACCCACGACCTCGCGCTGCGACCTGCTGTTTATCTCCCCTGTCTCCTCGGTCTCCACAGTGCCACGGGGGTTCGGGCGCAGGTGGAGGGCTAGGCACCCTTGGAGGTGAGGCTTTCCCGTTGTGTAGCCGCTGCAGGAGGGAGGCTCCCCGGGGCTGAGCCGCCCTCTGACAGGGGCCCTGGGCACCAGGAGGCTCGCCCTGGACACATACCAACCTTCCTCTGTCCTGAAGCACCCCCTCCTTGCCTAGGGCCTTTCCTGTCAGGGGCCCTACCTGCCCTGCCATTCCTCCTCCTGACTGTGGTCTGAAGGCCCCTTCTTTCTCCCAAGCCTCTTCCCCAGACAGTTCCTTCCACCCCAAATCCATCTCCCTGGGACCACCCTGCTTCCCTCCCTCCTTCTCCATAACCTGTCTCTCTCCCCTCGACTCTCGCCACCCCGTAGGTCCAGGGTCCAGGGACTCCCTGCCTTCACTCGAGGGAGCTCTGACGCCCTGGTACTGAGCACCCAGTGGGCCGGGGCTCCCCCCGCCGCAGGGGGGCAGTGCCTGGGGCCCCTGCCCCCTGGCTGCCTCCTGCACCAGGCTCAACAGTTCCTCCTGGACAGCTAGGGGCAGCTGCAGCAGGGCCTCTCTGTGGGCATCCCCACAGGGCTGCAACAGGGCCGAGAAGTCTCTCAGCACTCCAGCACACTGGGAGGCTCCAGGGGCTCGCCCCGGCCGAAAGTCCCAGCTCAGCCGCTCCACCAGCTCCTCCACTCTGCTCTGAGCCATGACGAAGGCCTCGGTCAGGCCACTGACCATCAGCGAACCGGGGGGCCCTGGGACGAGGTGGGCTGATGTGCTCCAGACCAGACAATCAAGGAAGAAGCCCTGGGCTCCCAGGAAGATGCAATGCAGTTTGGGTGGATAGCGGACTTCATCCTGCAGCTCTGGGCTGCAAAGACCCTTCAGGAACTCCTGGGGGAGGAATGGGCAGGTAGCGAAAAAGGAGACTGCTGGAATTCTACGTGGCCCAGTAGCCTCCTCAAGCCCACTGCATCCCACCCTGAGCTCCAGGATGCCTGGGCAGAACAATGGAGCCCCGTAGATCCTGACAAAGGTCAGGATTAAAAAGGGATCAAGAACCCATTTCCTTCCCTTTTAAGCTGATAGTCTATGGCTAATATTTCCATTTAGAACTTGATTCAACTTAAGGTACTCTTATAATTAACTGATTATAATTAACAAGGTTGTCTCCCTAAATATTTATGCGTGTGTATGTGTGTTATATATTTCCACCATAATGACTGTCATTGCTAACTTTTGCTGAACTCATGCTTTATCTCATTCACGGTAAGCCCAATGAGGAGGACACTGCTATTATTCACATTTCATAAATAAGGAAACGGGAGACTCTGTCACAGGGCTGGTAGGTGGTGGAGCTGTACTGGAACCTCTGACCGAAGGAAGCAATGTGGCCTGCCTTCCCATCCCCCACTGAATTCCTTGGTGGGGCCTGCTTGCCCAACTGGATCATCTCCCAGTCACAACTGATTTGAGCGAATCACCTGTCGCTAAGTCTTGGCAGAACCTGGCTCATCACGGCTGAAATGAAACCAAAACTCCACAGAAATACAGATTTGCAAAGTCCCTCAAAGTTCAGAGCCACTGAGGTTGCCAGTAAGACAACCAAGGAGTGGAGATCCTCCCCAGCAGACCCTCCTCTCCTCTGCCTCCGTGTAGGGGAGGGAGTCACTGTTCCCTGAAGGGGCAGAGAGGGGTGTTCACCTTGGCTCTGCTGGCGTTCTCCTTGGGGCCCTCCAGCTGCAGCCAGATGTGAGGGTTCTCAGGACAGTCCTTCGGGAGGACACTCATCCCCACGCTGAAGATGCGCTCCACGTACGGTTGGTGCTCCCGCACCTTGTCCTCAGCCTCCGCAGACACAGCAAAGCGGTCAGGGGACGGTGAGCCAGCCCCCCACGTAGGCATGGCTGCTTGGCCACCCAGCCCTGGAAGGAGAGAAGGCAGCTCAGAGCCTCCTCGTCCCCTCAACCCAAATTTTGGTCTCCCAGCCGACACCAGCTATCAACAGGTCGCACCTAGTTACCCATCTAGTAAACACCCTGGGTCCATCTAGGAAAGGAATGTCAGATTATGCGGAACCGGGTCTTCTCTCCGAGAGGAAGTCATGGGCAAACAAGGCTGCCCGTTGGGGATGGGCATCTGGCCTTTGGAAAAGGCTGACCAGGGCCCTAAGCAGGAAGAGTGGGGGGCTCCAGCTCGGTCTGGAGGCCAGAAGTGAACAGATGACAAAACAGTCTCTCTCCTCAAGGTCTCTGCAGTCCCCGGGTCCAAAGCGGCCTCTTAAAGACGAATCCTCACCGGGGCTTGAACTGTGATGTCCTCTGGAGTCCCTGGTCTGCCATTTCCAAGGTTCTAGCCCCTCCCACCTCTCCCCCTCCCTCCGCTGTCCGCCGCTCCTCTCCGGCGCGCTACGGCCCCACCCGGGGCCCAGGGGCCAGGCCGGGTACCGCCCACAGCCGCCTGCGGCCGCCGCCCCTCCCCCCGGCCGCGCTCTGCACTGGGGCCTCCGGCTCGGCTCCTGCGGCCCGGGCGCGGGGGAGAGCGAGCCTACCCGCCTCGGCCGCCCGCTTCGGCCTCAGTCCCGCCGGCGCCTCTCGGTGCCTGCCGGCCCCCGCTTCGCCCGCGCCCCAGGCCCAGAGGAGAAGGGCGGGGGCAGGGGGAGGGCCGAACCTGGGCGGGCCTTCCCGAAGTCCTCACCCAACTGGGACCTGTCTTCACATCTCGACCAGTTTTTTGAGTCACTTCCTGGCCCGGGGTGGAGTCAGCCAGACCCCACCCCGCGCTGGGCGGGCTCCGGGCCCTAGCGCGCCCCTGCCGCCCGGCTCCTCCCCGGCCCCGCCTCCCCGGCCGGCCCACTGGCCCGCAGTTCCTCCGGGCTCGGCGTCCAAGCCTGGCTGAGGGTCTCTCCTCTCCGGGTAAGGCTGGGTTCTCGCTCATTCTGAGCAGCTGTTTCTCGGGAGAGAAGAGCCACTCGTTGAGAGCTGGAGGTGAAGAAGGCCTTAAAGGGACTAATCCATTACCTTCGGATGAAAATATGGAAGACCAAGGAGAGAAAGAGACTGACCCACGGTCACAAGATACTGACACCGTTGGCCCAAGCACTTTCCACCAAAACAATTGTAGGGAAAAGACAAGGGCGCCCGCTTTCTTCCAAGAGCGGAAAGGGGCCACTGAGGGCCGTTGACTAGCGAGGGATTTTGAAGAGGGGAGGAACAAGAAGAAGGAAGGGACTGTAGGGCTCTCTTGCACACACATGCACTCACACACACACACACATAACGGGCACTCACACGTGCTCACAGGCACATATACACTCTTACGAACACACCAAGTTCTCTGTCATCCCATATGCAGCCTTCAGTGCTCTCCAGAGGGGTTGCCCTGGGTTCTGGCCATAGCCCTCCTGTCTGGCTGCTTCATCCCTCCTCTCCCTCCTCGAGCCCAACTGCTGCTGTCACTTCATGCCCTGCCAAGGAGGAGGGAACTGCAGTGACGGCGGGAGAGAGAGGCAGGACAGAGAGGTATGGAGAGAGAGAGATGTTGAGACCAGGGAACGGTGAGACCCAGAGAGAGGGCTGAGGAGCAGGGTGAGAGGTAGTGAGAGTCCACCAGAAGCGGAAACTGAAAGGAACACCAAGAGGGGGCAGAAGACAGGAGGACTTGTGGGTCACAGAGCCACTCAGCCATGGTGGGAGCCAAGCGACACTGGCTACCAGGTCTCCTACCCAGCCCCAGGCTGCCCTCGGCCCTGATGCTTCTGGCTCTAGGGTGCGGGTGGGCCCAAGAGGGGGCAGAGCCTGTCCTCTTGGAGGGTGAGTGCCTGGTGGTCTGTGAGCCTGGCCGGGCTGCTGCAGGGGGCCCTGGGGGAGCAGCCTTGGGAGAGGCGCCCCCCGGAAGAGTGGCATTTGCCGCAGTCCGAAGCCACCATCATGAGCCAGCAGGAGAGATCAGCAATGGCACCGGTGGGGCCATCTACTTCGACCAGGTAATCCCCCTACCCTTGTCCAGACGACCTGTAAGGACCTGGAATCAACTGCCCAAACCCACTTTGCTCTTAAGGAAGAGTCCCCCACCGTGACCAGGTGCTCCTCAGCGCCACTGCCCATCTCCCTTCCCTACACTCCTACCCACATCCCTCCTTGCCCTTTCTCACCATTTCTTTTCAATCTGGGCCTTCCTCCTGTTCTTGTCTTCTTGCCACCCCTTCTTTTCCTCCCCACAACCCAGTAGTTTCCCCGAGCCCCACTCAGCAGAGTCTGCTTCCCACAGGTCCTGGTAAATGAGGGTGGTGGCTTTGACCGGGCCTCAGGCTCCTTCGTGGCCCCTGTCCGTGGTGTCTATAGCTTCCGGTTCCATGTGGTGAAGGTGTACAACCGCCAAACTGTCCAGGTGACCTGTGTGCTGGGGCCCTGTCCTGGCTCAGGAGGGGAGGGGAGGGAGGGTGAATAAGTGGAGTCAGCTGTGACTCCTCGGTAGACCCTCCATTGACCTGTGGGGTGGGGGGCTGGCAGGGCCAAGGGAGGAAGGGACCAGCCTAGCAGAGAGGGTGGAGGAGGTGGAGGCCAACACTGGCCACCTCTCAGCCCTCCAAGAGTGCACTGAGCCCCAAGTTCCCAGGATTACAGAGTCCCTTGGGGGCTGGAGAAAAGAAGCAGCCCTCCAGAAAGTGGGTGGTCTTGGGACAAGGGCTGGGCAGAAGTGCTAACTGGGCTCACCTCCCCAGGTGAGCCTGATGCTGAACACATGGCCTGTCATCTCAGCCTTTGCCAACGACCCTGATGTGACTCGAGAGGCAGCCACCAGCTCTGTGTTACTGCCCCTGGACCCGGGAGACCGGGTGTCCCTGCGCCTGCGTCGGGGGAACCTCCTGGGTGGCTGGAAATATTCAAGCTTCTCTGGCTTCCTCATTTTCCCACTCTAAAAGTTCAAGCTTTTCAAGGACTGGAATCTAACCCCTGACCTCTGACCTCCGCCCTCTGCCCTCTCCTGCCCAGAAGCAGCTTCTCTGGGGTAGGAGAGAGGCTCCCTCTGGCTGCCTGTATTCTACCTTCTTGCATGGGACCCTGTGCCTAACACCCACGGTGAAGAGTGAAGAGTAGAGCTGTGGTGTCTGGGGACCTGGCCCCTCTTACCTCCCCTCCCACCCCCTGCCTCTCACTGCAGGGTTTGTGCCTGTGGGGTTTGGCAGGTAGGGAGGTCTGTGCTACTTTGCAGACTCTGCTCTTCCTGTTCCTCCACCCCCAGCTCTCCACTCAGTGCTATTTGGGGACAGGTGGCCCAGGTGAGCCTGACAGGCCCCCACTGGGGCCCAGATGGACCAGCCTCAGTGTGCCCTGCAGGCTCCTTCCTGTGAGGTGTGCCAGCATCACGGATCTTGGCCAGCACAATCAGAAGCTGAGCCAGCACTGTGTGGGCTAGGGCAGGAGGCTTAGGCACCAGCAGAGTGCGGGGAGGACCACAGAGCAGCCCGGAGCCTGGGGCTGGTGAGGCAGGCAGGGCATGTGCCCAGCCTGAACGTGGTATACGTATTTCATTTACATGGGAACGGCCAACAGGCAGTGAACCTGGGTATCCATCTGTGCTAGGTCCCAGATGGACTCTGGCCTTCCCCTCCCCATCCAAGACATGGGGTGTTATGTGTTCGCTCTAGCCAAGAGTGGGTATACTGAGTTTCCTTAGACAGCTGGAGGGAGGGGTAGAAAGTCACATGTGAGCAAGTGTAGATCTCCAGGCATGGAATGTGTCAATGACAAGGCCACCTCCTAGAACTGCTCCACCTTTGTGATCTGAACTTCAACCACTCCACACCCTGCCGGTCCCCTCCCAGCTCTCTCAGCTACCATCACTGTACCTGTTCCAGATGATCCCTCAGCCTCTCTTCTTTCTCCTGATTCGTGCTGTCTTGTCGTCCTTTCTTAAACTTCCTGTTATCTTGGATGCTATGATTCATCCCTTCAGCCACTCTCCTGCTGGTATTATAAAATCTCTCTGTCTTACCGAGCTGTCCCATTCTCCCAGCATGGATGAACCTATCAGTGAAGCAACTAGAGAATGATGGTCAGTGAGAAACTGCAGGATCACTGAAGAGACAAGATGCCATTACAATTTGGATCAGGGGTTACAAGTTACAGGCAGGTATGTTGTTGAGAAGATAAATGTAAGCTTGTATAGTCAAGTCAAATAAAAAAGGAAATTAGTAATGCTTGAATTAAATAGGAAATACCAATGTGAATTTGTGGTTTTCAAAAGAAATAACTTTTTCAAACGTTGTCACTAAAGTAGCCTAGAAACAACATCAGGAAAAATCTGATATGCATTCTTAGCACCAGGATCTTTGCCTCAAATATTATTCACCTTTAAAATAACTCACGGAGGGGGGCGCCTGGGTGGCTCAGTCGGTTAAGCGACTGCCTTCGGCTCAGGTCATGATCCTGGAGTCCCGGGATCGAGTCCCGCATCGGGCTCCCCGCTCAGCGGGGAGTCTGCTTCTCCCTCCGACCTTCCCCCCTCTCATGTGCTCTCTCTATCTCTCATTCTCACTCTCTCAAATAAATAAATAAAAATCTTTTAAAATAAATAAATAAATAAATAATAAAATAACTCACGGAGGGGCGCCTGGGTGGCTCAGATGGTTAAGCATCTGTCTTTGGCGCAGGTCATGATCCCAGGGTCCTGGGATTGAGCCCCACATCGGGCTCCTGGCTCAGCGGGGAACCTGCTTCTCCCTCTGCCTCTCCCCCTGCTCATGCTCTCTCTCTCTCTCTCTCTCTCTCTGTATCTCAAATGAATAAATTTAAAAAATCTTTAAAAAATAAATATAAATAAAATGAAATAAAATAAAATAACTCACGGAGGAGGGGCACCTGGGTGGTTCAGCTGGTTAAGCGGCTGCCTTCAGCTCAGGTCATGATCCCAGGGTCCAGAGATCAAGCCCCACCTTGGGCTCCCTGCTCAGCAGAGAGTCCGCTTCTCCCTCTCCCTCTGCACCTCCACCCACTTGTGCTCACTCTCTCTCTCTCTCAAATAAATAAATAAAATCTTTAAAAATTAATTAATTAATTAATTAATTTAATTAGATTAAATAACTCAGGGGGAAGGGTGCCTGGCTGGCTCAGTCAGTGGAACATGTGACCCTTAATCTCGGGGTTGTAGGTTCGAGCCCCCCGCTGGGTGTAGAGATTACTTAAAAATAAAAATCTTTTTTTTTAAGATTTTATTTATTTATTTGAGAGAGAGAGAACAAGAGAGAGAACATGAGAGGGGGGAGGGTCAGAGGGAGGAGCAGACTCCCTGCCAAGCGGGGAGCCCAATGCAGGACTCGATCCAGGGACTCCAGGATCATGACCTGAGCCGAAGGCAGTCGCTTAACCAACTGAGCCACCCAGGCACCCAAAAATAAAAATCTTTAATAAATAAATAAATAAATAAATAGAACTCAGTGTTCCTTAGAGAATAAATAGCTCCATGTCTTAAATAACTCTAGGCCTGGAACATGTTGTTAATGACAAAAAGCAAGGATATTTTTTAAACTGTAAAGGTAGAGCTGAAAAGGCAAAGGAATCCGTCTTAAAATGCTCCCAAATGACATGCTGTGACAATTTGATCATCAAAAGGAAAATAATAGGGGCACCTGGGTAGCTCAGTCGGTTAAGCACCTGCCTTCGGCTCAGTTCGTGATCTCGGGGTCCTGGGATTGGGCTCTCTGCTCAGTGGGGAGTCTGCTTCTCCCTCTTCCTGACCCTCTGTCCTTAGCCCCACTCATGCTCTCTCTCGCTCTCTCTCTCAAATAAATAAAATCTTAAATTAAAAAAAAATTTTAAGATTTTATTTGTCAGAGAGAGAGAGACAGAGAGAGAGCACAAGCAGGGGGAGAGGCAGAGGCAGAGGGAGAAGCAGGCTCCCCGCTGAGCAAGGAGCCCAATGCGGGACTCGATCTCAGAACCCTGGGATCATGCCCTGAGTTGAAGGCAGACGCTTAACTGACTGAGCCACTCAGGCGTCCCGAAATTTTTTTTTTTAATTTTTTAAAAAAGGAAAATAATATAATTAATCAGAACAAGGTGAATTTTTAAAATCCATGACTCTGGAGTGATATTCAAAAAGGAAACAGTCACTATAAAATATCCAAAAAGATAGTTAATATACCTAGTGGAGAAGAACAAATATAATGGTATATTTTTAGTTAATTCTGATAAGTAGAAGAGTATAAAAATAGTAGGTATTTTATCTCTTCATAAGGTACACTCATTTCTCTTTATCTGTATAAGTAGGGAGGGGTGGACACGTAGAGCTGTGAGTAATTCCAGAGAAAGTTGGAACTGTGTCAAGAATGAAGAAGACTGATTGGCACCATCTGGTCATATATTACAACTAGGAAGAAAGGGAGTCCAACAGTGTGTTGCAAGATGATGAATTAGTCAAACGTCTAAAAGATAACTGCTCACAGCTCAAACTTGATCCTTCATCTCTTGGGAAAGGGAGCCTCTATGTTACGATACTAATTACAATGAGATTTCAGTAAGAGTAAACCCAAAATAATAATGGCTTAACCAAGGAAGATTATTTCTGTCTCACATAGAAGAATTCGCACATAAAGAATCTAGGGGGGCGCCTGGGTGGCTCAGTCGCTGAGCGTCTGCCTTCGGCTCAGGTCATGATCCCGGGGTCCTGGGATTGAGTCCCGCATCGGGCTCCCTGCTCCGCGGGAAGCCTGCTTCTCCCTCTGACCCTCCCCACTCTCATGCTCTCTCTCTCTATCTCATTCTCTCAAATAAATAAATAAAATCTTAAAAAAAAAAAAAAAAACTGGGGCCCGAGGCGCCTGGGTGGCTCAGTTGTTAAGCATCTGCCTTCAGCTCAGGTCATGATCCTAGGGTCCTGGGATCGAGCCCCACATCAGCTCCCTGCTCGGCAGGGGCCCTGCTTCTCCCTCTCCACCCCCCCCCTGCTTGTGTTCCTGCTCTCGCTCTCTCTCTCTCTGTCGAATAAATAAATAAAATCTTTAAAAAAAAAAAAAGAGTCTAGAGCCGGATTGCAGTTTCATGGTGATCACAGCTGTTTCCCTTCTTGCAGTTCTACCATCGTTAGCATGCCATCTCATGGCCCAACATGGCTCCTTGCATTCCAGCCATTACATCAGCCTTATAGGCCCCCAGGAAGGAGGAAGGAAGAAAGGGCACACTTTCCTTTACAGAAGCCTTCTGAAAAGACGCATCCCACATTCCAATTGCATCTCACTGGCTAGAATTTAGTCACACCTGGCCACACCAGGCCAGGGAGAGAGGCTAGGAGGTAGAGTCTTTATTCCAGGCAGCTCTGCTCAGCTAAACATTAGAAGTTTTATAATGAGGAAAAAGAGGAAACTGCATATTGGGGGAAAATAACTAGATGTTTTTAAAAGTGCAAATGGGCTACAGAAATTTGTCAATAATGACAGTGAAGTTGTTGTATTGGTTTTCCATTGCTGCGTAACAAATTACCACACAATTAGCAGCTTAACACAACACCTATCCATTATCTCAAAGTTTTCTGTGGGTCAGAAGTCCAGCAGAGCATGACTGGATTCTCTATCTGGGGTTTCATAAGGTCAAAAGCAAAGGCTGCCTTCCTTGCTGAAGGAGAAGAATCCACTTTCAAGCTCATTCAGAGTTCAGTTCCTTATGGCTGTAGGACTGAGATCCACCATCTTTGAGCCAATGATGTTGGGCCAAGCCCTTCGTACACTTTGAATCTCCCTGACCCAGCCATGTCTCTGACTTCAGTGGAGAAAGTTCTCTGATTTTAAGTGACCACATGATTAGATTGGGCCCACCCAGAAAATCCGGGATAATCTCCCTATTTTAACCTAAATTACATATGAAAATGTCCGTTTTACCATGAAACATAATTCAAGTTTCCAAGGATCAGGGCATGGACATTTTGGGAACATCTGCATGGAATATGGACATTTTTGGAATATCCTCGTCATTAAATTTAAAGATGGCATCATCTAAAGGAAAGGCATCCAGCTACAACGCACTAATCATGTGGAAAAAGTGTGGGCTTGAGGAATTCCCATGCTATTCAAGGTAAACACTGGCTCTGATTTCAGTCATTTTAGAAGGGGATCCAGTTCCCAGGTCCCAACCAAGAATTCGTTGATTAGTAATACAAAACTTCATCTGCACTGGGATAAGTTTCTTTTTTTGGATGGCTAAACTGAGATAGTATCCATCTCTTGGGTCTACAAACCCATTTTTATAATAAGTGTAAGTGTAGGTGTAATAAACGTCATGGTCCTAGTAAGATGTGTGTGCTTTACCAAAATCATGCTTTTAGAGAAGTTAATACATTAAATTGGTGATCCTATCGAATTATATATGAGGATTTAAGTTTACAACCAATGTTTAAATCATTTGATTTGTAAAATACATGGATTTTGATTTATTTGGTGTATAAATCGTGTTTAAATGTTTAGACAATTTTGCTTAAGTAGGTTTACAAGGTAAATAGATTAAACAACAAATAAAGCACAGATGGTGGTTAGTGTTCCTCTCCAGGTACAAAAAGCTCCTCAGACTTTAAGGATCCTAAGAATAGAATCCAGCTGTTTTACCTTCCTATGCCCACGTCCTGGCAGCTGGTTGTGGCAGAGAAAGTCCCGCCACTGAAAGATGCGCTATAGATCTAAACTCATGGTGTCCAGCCACCCCTGGTCCTCAAGCCTCCGTCCAAGTCTCCTGCGGTTTCCTCTGCCAGGTGTTCTCCTCATCCTCCCCAGCATCCAACTGGAGCCTTCTGTTCTCTCCCGAAACCTTTTACACCACCAACTCCGCCCCATTGTCAGCAGCAGACAGCCCCCTTCACAGAAGCAGCAGAAACACCAGGCAGGAACCCTTCCCACCACCACATCTAGAAACTCACCGCTCTCAGCCCTGCTTCGTCCTATCTGGCTCAGCAGAAGCTGGGTCCCTCTTCTTGTCAGGGCTGCCATCTCCATCCACCAGTCACGAAGCTCACTTCCTGCAGACATCCCCTTTTCTTTTCCTCGCTTCTCTCGTGTAGGTGTAACTTCTCCCTCTCTACTCCTTCCCTTCAGCAGCTAACTAGACTCAAGTATCTTAAACCTGAAAGAGAAAAAGATGGGTATGGAAATAGTTGTAGGTATAGAGTTGTCCTCGGCTTTATATGCCCCCAAGGCTAGTTGGTGCCATCTCTCCTCCTCTTTAAAGTCAAATATTTATGCTCACCAGTTTCCCACCTCTTAAGTCAACTGTGGCCTCCACTGCTCCACCTAAACTGCTCTCAGCTGCTCACTCACAACTTCTGTGTCACTAAAGTCAGTGGACGCTTGCTGTGTCCACTGTTATTCGGGCTCTCCCTAACAT